TAAATAACTCAGAACAATTAACAATTACATATTCACAACCACAAAATATGAACAATAGAGTAAAACAAGTAAAGCAAAGCTTAAGAGATAACACCATGATTTTTAGCGAGGAAATCTTAATCGGAGAAATTCAATCAATTAAGAGAAAAATCTCGGATACTCTCATGTAGTTTCAAGCGAAAGAATCCACTATAATCGAAATAAAGTATGATGTACTTTAAGTAATAGACTTTGACTCTGATTCAGGCTCACACCCACTCCGCTCTACCAAAAACCAATTGATGAGTATCTCTCGCATTGCGAATTCCAGTTCAAATGCTCTACACTTCAGATCAACTTATTCTTTGATCCTTGTAAAAGGATTCCTAGTAGATTATGAGTAGCTTGATTCCTTCGCAATGTGACTTCCTCATTTCCTTTAAATCTAAATTTGTGAAGGCAAAAAGAAAACTCTGCTTTTTTTATTTTATTTTTTTTTATCAATCTCTATAATTTGAAGTAGACTATGAAGATTTAGTTGATCAAATGATGAATATTACCCTAAATTATTCACGTGTTTAAGTGTATGCTTTCAAAAGTATCGAATTAGATTTCACTTAAAATCTTTCTCGGTAGAATTGACAAAAAAAAAAAAAAAAAAAAAAAATAGAAGAAAGAAAAACACATACATAGAAGATTCGAAATGTTTAAAATGAACATGTCATTAGACAAAATCATATGAGTCATTTTAAAATATATGTTAAATACCCGAAATGTCTTAAACCACGTAACCCTGCTCTCTCCTCTCTTTGATCCATCTATGTCTTCCATCTCGTTCTAAGTATATTACAATATATAGAAATCATTAAGGGAACAATGTAATCATTTCAAAAAGCGAGTTTTGTCATTTTCTGACAATCATAAAGAAGGGGTAATTTGCTCACATTTTTCAAATATTTAGAAATCATATACTTATACTAAATAGATAATGAGTTTGTTGCATATTTTTTATAGTCCCCCATTATTGCCCTTTTCAAATAACCCCATGAACTATTGATTTGTTGCAATTAAGAACAAATCCATCACAAAAGACTATTTACCCTTTCTCATTAAAATTTTCATTTCTTATTAAATTATTTTTATTGTCTTTTCTCTTATGTAAATATTAATTATACTATTTACCTTAATTTTATTTTTAGTATCAATTTATCATAAAAAAAATAGATAAATAAATTTGTAACTACCATTTTTTTAAATTGATTAACTTATTATTAAAAATTTATTATTTATAATAAAATGTATTATAACAAATTTTAAAAAATTTACTGTAAAAAAATATCATCTTTTTCATAAAATATATTGATGAAAAATTAATAAAATACTTTTGAAAAAAATACCTTCGTTTTATGTAATATGTTCATTAAAAATTAAAAAATTAATTAATTGTCAAAAAAAAATTATACCAAAAATTTTTATTTAAATAATTTATTAAAAAAATAAAGATAAATTTATGCAAATTTAATGAAAAATATCTCATCAAATTAGTATGAATTTTTTCATAATTTATTTAGATAAAAAATATATTAAATATAATATAATAAGAAGGGGCATTATGGTCATTTAATAAAATATAATATAGTGTTTAGAGTTTGTTATAACAAATAAGATAGTTTAGGAGATTTTATGCATAAAATATAATTTAATGGGGTTGTTTACTTATTTAAGCATAGTTTAAGTAAATTTGTTACGCTTTATTTACTTTTATATAACAAGAAATTTAATGCACCTTACTCTACTATATTTGGAGGATATTTCAGATATTTTATTCTTTTATTAATGATAGGTGTACCAGAAGGGTTTGAATACCCTGTATAACTAAATGATCAATATATATATATATATATATACTGTATATATCATAATGGAGGGGGAGGAGAAAAAGTCGTGGACGTTACAGAAATGGAAGGGAGAAAGAGTCGGTGGTACTGGTGGTGGGCAAGTGTGAAACGTGGATAGAGAGCAGAGACAAGTGGGTCAGCTCCCCCACTTGCCCCTATTTATGGGATGGGATTAAGTTGCTCGTCGAGGATGACCTGGATGACAGTGACGTTATTTTAATACAAATTAACTGATTTCATTTTTTTTTTTTTTCTTTTTAGTTTTTACCTAGTTTGCAAGGCACATTCCCAATAATCAATATTACTATTGTATACTCAACTTATATTACCAGTTTACCACCACTGTCAATATCACATTTTCTAAATTAAAAAAAGTCACCGTAGAAAAAAAAAAAAAAAAAAGGCAGGCTAGTTGCTCTTTCCTTCTTAGAAACAGACTTTTATGATCATTGTTGTCGTAATCAAGACCTAATGTTTTGATTAATGGTGTGGTGTAACTGGATTTTAATATTCAATCACAGTACTTTCAGTAGTAATTATGTATAGGGTATACCTATATATATACACATCTATATCAATATATTCATGTTTTTTAAAAAAAGAGAAAATTAAAAATATAAAAAAGTCTTCACATGGAGGGGAAGGAGAAGGAGAAAAAGACCGTTGCCACTAAGGAGGTGGACGACAAACATCAATGGTGTAGAGACTTACGGCATAGACAAGTGGGGGTCAGTGTTTGCACGTGAAAGTCTATAATATGGCGGGAAGGATGATAATCGTAGAGAGATGTAGAGCATAGACAAGTGGGTCAGTACTATTTTCACGTGAAAATCTATAATATGGCGAGAAGGATGGTAATCGTGAATAAATGTAGAGCATACACAAGTAGGTCAGTACCGTTTTCACATGAAAATCTATAATTTTTCACAAAGTATAATAAATACTTGCATGGCAACAAAGATCCAAATAAGTGTTCTTTAAATAGTTTTTTAATGCATATATTTGGTCCTCTCTATCTTTCTTTCACTTTTTTTAAAAATTTATTTTGAAAAAATTAACAAAAAATAAACCTATTAAAGGATTAGATATTGATCGGATAGGATATCCAAAAAATACACAATTAGATATAGATTCAATAATGTATAATCTATTGGGTTGTTGAATCGAATATATTTCTTATCAATTTTAAATCGAATTGAATCAGACCAGATTCAATCTGATTTGAAAGAAAAATACGGGTCAAAAAATTTTCATACTTCTTTCGGTGAATTTGGACTCACACAAAGCTCATTTTTTTAGCTAATCGGGTTTAATCCGAAACGAAATTATGATCATAACATCACACAACATTTGTGTTATTTTAATTGATTGTATGTTCATGTTGTACATGAGTGTCTATAATTATTACGTAGTATTTTTTTTTTTCTTTTTCCGGAAGATTAAACAAATTAATTAGATGAAAAAGGAAGGATATACAAAATGGCCCAAAGAAATGAGCCCAACCCATACGAGACCTAGTTACTGTGGTGCTTGAAATGCTTGTTGCACGTCAGGTCATTGGAATGTGTGTTAAGGGAAGGCGCAGTTCAGAGCAGTCTCTGCAATTTCCTAAGTTGATCATTTCTAGGCATCATGAACATATTTTTAATTTTTTTTTTTTTTTTTTTTGACAAATTTCTCAAAATCCCCAAAACTATTAAAAAGTAATCATAAAACTATAACGAGTTTTAAAAACTCCCAACAATATAGCAACGTTATCATGTTACTCCAACTCTGGCAATTGGCCGTTAAGAATATATGAAATGACTAAATTACCCTTATGATATTCTAATTTATTTAAAAAAACAAAAAATTATATTTTACAAATTACAAAATTATCCTCTACTTTTGAGTTTCCATTGACTGCTATCATCTTCCCCCGCCCCCGCCATCGCCTCCTCTGCCCCCACCCTCAATCCTCCCCTCTCTCTCTCTAAAACAACACACACAAACATACTATCTCTCTATATATATAACACTATATGTATCTGAGAGTCCTCCCATTCCTAGTGCAAACTGAGAACTCCATTTTCCCGGCAATTTTAAATGCTTCCATCTAGTGTAGATCACTTTTTTTAAATGCTTTCATCTAGATATTATTTTTTTTTTTTTGGAAAGTAAATCTACAAAAAATAATAATAATAATAATAATAATGAAACTAAATATCTAGATGAAAGCATTTTTGTTTTTCTTGCAACTCAATATTTTAAGGGATTCCTAGGAGTAATAAGAAATAAGCACTACCAACAACTTTAATATATAGTTTGTGTCCTAATTTTTGTTTCATGTTTGCAATAGAAGAGATCATGATACGGTTTTTCTGTTTTGTAAGGTGCGTCGGTCCAGATAGAACTGGACATCCATGGAGAGAACTGGTAGACTGGTAGTAGCATGATGGACCACCATGACCATTATTAAGGAACTGTTGTTAACGAAATTCACCTTTTTTTTTTTTTTTAGTTGACTACTCAAAAAGCAGAGCTCTTTTTATATGCTAAAGCGTATTGATCAGTTAAGCAAATCCCAACAACAACTGATTGTTTAGTTGAATACATTTTTGTGAAAGGTTATTTTGATTCAAAGTGATATGAAGTACAAAAATAATATTAGAGACAATATTAACATGTGATATCTTTTTCAACGAAAGTAAAAATTATTTATAAATGGAGAGTTTTCAAGAGAAATAAAAAACTTTTATTGGGAGGATTACTAAGAGAATATTCAATTTAAAATCATATTTATTGTGATCTGATACGACATTGCGAAGGATTTTCTTTTTTCTGAATATTATATTAATATTTTAAAATTCAGTTTGGGTTTAGGGTTTTCAGCATCCCGCTCAAAATCATTCTTCATCCTTCTTTCCCTCGATCTCTTCACCATCCTCTCTCTTCTCCTCTCAATCCTCTCTCTTCGCCATCTCCTCTCTTCTCTTCTCTTCTCTTCTCAATCCTCTTTCTTCTCCATTACAGCAGGGAACGGTGAATTTGTCCTACTCAAATCAAGAACAGCTGCCCTACAACAGTGTTCTTTTCAGAAGGAAAAAGGAGTTTGCGCACACACTCTTCTAACCTGTTTCTAAATTTGAACAAAAAGTACCTCAACCCTTTATTAATTCTGTGTACTTGGTGCTTCTGAAATACAGAACATGACAAACAGTCATTTGCTTCCAGACCCAAAACCCAATTATTAACCCCCTTCTAGAGAAGGAGAAAGTACAATGATAGGCTCTTACCATATACTGGATTCAAAGAAAGTGTGATGTCGAAGTCTCTCCTCCTAATCAAAGATGACTGTTAATTAGATATCTTCATAAAAGAACTTCCTAAAAGCATCCATATGAGCCACCTGCAACCGCAATGGAATGATAAAGGATCCATCTTCGTCGTGACCGGGTAGTATAAAGGACTTGCCATCATAACCCATTGCTCCAGGTCCCATATGAATCTCCTTTCCCCACCCGAAATCAGCACCATAGACTGGCAGAGTTGCCCAACTCGTGATCTCAAGGTTTGGGTTCCCATAGAAAGCCCCTTGGGTGCACCCAACTGTGTGAAAATTACGGTACCTAGACAAATCCTCTTGGCTCCTCACAAATGCAAGATATGATCTCAGATACTCATCACTCATCTTGTCAATTGCTTCTCTAATCTTATTCGAAGCATAACACAATGGCTTCGACACAATCTCCCCCGATATGGCCAAGGCTGCTGCCCGAGTGACTGCATTTCCAAAGTACAACTTTGGCAATGGTGGTTCCAAGCGGTTCCGCAAATCTACGGCAACATCTAGCCTTGTTTGCTGCTGGCTTTCGAGTTTCCGAGCCCTGCATGCGCACTTCCACATATGCCCTGCAACAGCTTCATAGCGGCTATAGCGGCGGCCATTCTTGTCGCTACTCTGACCTTCATTTGCTCTGTTCTTCAATTTGTCGATTTGGTCTTTGCTCAGCTTCAGCATGGCCTCCGAAGTTTCCTTCTTTCGTTCCTCCAAGTTATTAGAGTGACCAATCAAGAGCGGATGCGGATTGAACTCTACGCGATCAAAACTTGGTGGAGCCGAAAATTCCTTGGCTAGTAATACGGAGCGATCAAGAAACGGAGGATCGTCTGATTGCTCGCCGCGAGCGATTTTGGCCCACTGGCCGACAAAGTGGAATGCACTGGGGCCATCAACCATGATATGGGATATCCCCATGCCGATACTAATGCCACCGCAGCTGAACTTGGTGAGTTGCACCAAAACTAAAGGCAGTTCATGAATTGGCAAGTTATAGTCTGCCGATGGTATGAGGGCCTTCATCTGTGGAGTTGGAGAGAAGTCACCGAAGTCGTCGATTTTGGCTTCGGACTCTGCTTCGAGAAGCAGAGCTCCCATGGAGTTGCAGTTGAGCTCGAGACGGCCTCCGCCACTGATCCAATGCAAGCGGCCAGCGAGCGGATAGAAGAGAACTAGTATTTTGCTGAGAGAGTCTCTCAGGATGTCTATTGGGGGAGCTTTATCATCAAACTTTGGGGTGGGTCTATAGAAGTATACTGTTGGTGCATGAGTAATGGCTTTATACTGGTCACAATCTGATAAACACATGACACCATTTGGTGTCTGCTCCGCTGGTTTCACTATGTAAGAACCCTTCAAGCTCACCATTTTTAAAGAGAGAGAGAGAGAGAGAGAGGTCTTTGTTTGGCGTGGGTTCACAATTCTCAGTGTTACAGCCCATATATACACACAGGATACTAGACGAACTAGGATCCTCTCCTATTGCCGTGCAGAGAGTGAGGATCATATTTCAGGACTAGGGAGGGATACTTGTAACAAATTCAGTTCAGTTTCTAAATATAGCTTTTGGAAAAGAAAAAAAAGTATTATAAAAAGTTTAAAAAGAATGTCCTCTAAATTTAAGAGGCTTTGATAGGAATTTTCATTGAATTATTATCTTAATTTCTTTTGTTATTTGAAGACGGAATTAATTTAAATAGTCCAATAAACGTCCTAAAAAAAGGGAATGAAATATCCTGGCAAGGTGAAAATAATTCAATGTGAATCAAGAATAGTTCATGCAAATACGCTTCAGATACGAAAAACCGAGGTCTATTTTTTCTTTCTGCATTATTTGTATAAAATGAAAATTAATACAAGCAGATTTAATTTTTTTAATTATTCTAGACAGGGTAATTGATGGAGGAAGAAATCTACTCTAGTACTGGAAGCAATTAAGTTTGGATAACAATGAGACCAGTAAAATTCATTTTAATTATGAAGTTTCTTTCTTAAAGGCTTGCTAAAGATTAGGGATGGCAAAGTGGGTCAGAAATTATCAACTCGTTCATATTTGTCCACTTTTTAATGGTTATAGGTGAACTATATTTAATTTAAGGGTCAAGATGGATTAGGTAATTTTTAACTACTTAATTTGAGGGTCAAGATGGGTTGAATATGGTTAACCATATTCAATCCATATTTCATCTATTACATAATAAATACACAACACACATTTATTCTATATTGTACTCAACTCATTTCTCTCTCTAAAATTTTATAAACTCATTTCTCTCTCTAAAATTCTCTCACTCACGATTTCCTCTCTCTAAATTTATCTCTCATCAATCTACTCTTTCTAAGTTTCTTTATGTAGAAATTCCTTCTAAAAAAAAAATTAATTAAAAAAATTTAAAAATATAAAAATAAATTTTTTTAAAACCTTCCCAAAAAAATAATTTAAAATTAAAAAATAAAGAAATTTTTAAATTTTTAAAAATTAAAAATAATAATTAATGAGTACACAAGTTATAACGGATTGACCCTACCTATTTTTAACTCGTCTATTTTCAACCCGCTTTGAACGAGTTAAATATAAATCTTAACTCATATTGACCCGCCCATTTTTATCCCAACCCACTTATTTACAGCCCTGCTGAAGATGTATTTCAAATCTCTCTTAAAGACTCATGTATATAACTATATAAACGCTCTACAATCCCTGAATTAGATTATTTTCTTAAATTTCATACATTGTCCTTTTCTTGGATATCTCCACAGATTTATTGAATTGACATGTAACCTTTTTTTCACGTGATTCAGTGAGCTCGGTATCTTCACATTTGGACAGAAACATCAAAATACTTTTGGTATTTCAATCTTGATGCACATTGAATTATTTCCATTTCTTTTTCTTTTTTTTTCTTTTCTTTTTCATTTTTTTTTTTTTAATTGTAATAGATAAACAAAAATTTTCATGATAAATTATTATGTCTGATGTGCCATATGAGTTGGCAACCCGGTGTAATCTAAAAGCAAATTTTTAAAAGAAAAAATAGGAGAAAGAGAGAAACTGATGAAATCAGGTTGCGTGAATAGAATTGGAATCTTCACGCGATTCAATTTAGGATTTGTAACGACTCACTCACCACATGGTATGATATTGTCCGCTTTGAGTTTGAGTCGCACGGTTTTGCTCTTAGATTTCACCCCAAAAGGCCTCATACCAATTGAAGTGACTTACATATAAGCACTTCACCTTTCCTCTACCCAGGCGATATGGGACTGTGCACCCGTAGCTCGCCAGTGTGGTAACCTGACAGTGTCTCTTGCACCCGCCCACGGCACACCCGTCCACAAGGTCATCACAATCCACCCCCCTTGGAGGCCCGACGTCCTCGTCGACACACTTCCGGCTGGGTCAGGCTCTGATACCATTTGCAACTACCCACTCCACCACATAGTATGATATTGTTCGCTTTGGGTCTGAGCCCGCACGGTTTTGCTCTTGGGCTTCACCTCAAAAGGTCTTACACCAATTGGAGGTGATACACTTACATATAAGCACTTCACCTTTCCTCTACCCAGGCGATGTGGGACTGTGCACCCGTAACCCGCCAGTGTAGTAGCCTGACAGTGTCTCTCGCACCCGCCCACGGCACACCCGCCCACAAGGTCATCACAATCCACCCCCCTTGGAGGCCCGACGTCCCAGTCGGCACACTTCCGGCTGGGTCAGGCTCTAATACCATTTGTAACGACCCACTCCACCACATGATATGATATTGTCTGCTTTGGGCCTGAGTCGCATGGTTTTGCTCTTGGGTTTTACCCCAAAAGGTTTCATACCAATTGGAGATGATGCACTTATATATAAGCAATTCACCTTTCCTCTACCCAGGCGATGTGGGACTGTGCACTCGTAGCTCGCCAGTGTGGTAGCCTGACAGTGTCTCTCGCACCCGCCCACGGCACACTCGCCCACAAGGTCATCACAATCCACCCCCCTTAGAGTGGATTGTAAAAGGGGTTAGAAATATTCACGTGATATATTCTAGAGAGAGAGAGAGAGTTAGAGAGGGAATGAGGAAAAAAAAAAAAAAAAAAACCCTGTAGAGAGAAGATCAAGGAAGAAGAAGTTTAACTTTCGATCCGAAAGTTTAAGGTAAGTTCTTCTTCTATCTCTTTCCATTTGATTCGTGTTTCTATACATGCCTAGGAAATTTCAGGATTTATTAAACACATAAAATTAAATAATTATGCATGTTTAATTGGATTAGAATATAGGTTTTATGAATTTGGTTCATATCTGTTCTTGTGTTATGAATTGATAAATGCATGATTTTGATTTGATTTCCGGCGTGAATTTTTACATGTTTAAATTATGTATTTTTCATATCTGTGGAATGATGGAACGTAGAAATATGCCTAGGATTCCTGAACATTGAATAGGAATTAGGTTTAGGTTTAAATAAATTTAAATAGACTCAATCGTAATGATGCTTGCTACTTTGAATGTTTTAAACAAACGAATGAATTTAATCTTTTAATATGTTTTAGCAATTGAGATTAAATGTGTATGATGAATTGGATATGGAGAATACTTATTTGACAGTATAATAAAATATCATCATATGTATAAGATTCAGTTTATGTAGGACATATGATATACGAAACTTAAATAAATTATAAGTCATTCCTATTTTGTGATAACTTGAATCATATTATCATAGTTATTTCTGGATTGTTTGATGTATTTCCTTAATCGTTACGTTAATTGTTGGATTGTGTGGTTTAATGCACCGGTGTAGGACGGTGGCATTCTAGGGACGGATTAACTTATCAGTTAAGTCCTACCTATTTTATATAAGGGAATGGATTAACTAAAATGTTAAGTCCTACTTATATTCAAATCAGGTCAGCTGAACAAGTTGAATGACTTATGGAGGATTAATTTATTATATAAGGGAATGGATTAACTAAAATGTTAAATCCTACTTATATTCAAGTCAGGTCAGCTGAACAAGTTGAATGACTTATGGAGGATTAATTTATACTGAATAGGATGGTTACTAGATTATATATATATAAGTATAGTGCCATGATATAAGCTTGAATCTCAGGATCAGTGGTTAGGGTGCGTATATCGCCAGGGATATGTAGCTAGATATAGTGTAGTTGTGTACCCTGGTAGGTTTTGGTACTCATGCCCACTATATGTGCGTTTTGCATGTTACCTACTATTCAGATTGAGACAACCATATAGTATAGTGAGGTTCCTTTAGTGTGTGTATATATATATACGGACTACTAGTTACTGTTGGATTGACTAGGATGTATACGTGTATCGGATCTCTGCTTAGACTGTAGTAGAGTAGAACTTGTTTGTGGGCCTGACCCACCATTATTTTTCAGGTGTTCGTCAAGAGTAGAGGTTGTTCGTGCTGAGCGGGGATCAGTCTACTTCATTTTTCCGATGCTACATAGGAGTTCCTTTATGATTCAGTTTCCTAATTTAGACAGTTATTGCTGTCATTTGTTTAGTTTAGATTTTCCAGGAGTCCACACAGTATGGATTCCGGAGTTGTATTTTGGAGGATCAATTGTATTAGAAGAGTTTATTAATTAATGGAAATATATTATGAGGTTTATTATTAGATTATCATTTTAGTTTCTTGTCAGCATTTTATTTATTCTTCTTTATTCTTTTGTACTCTGTGTTCATTTATTGAGGATTTTGTTTTTGATATCCTCGGGTATTCGGGCTTGGGCCTGGCCAACCCGCATTCGGGAATCTGAGGGTATCACAGTTAGTATCAGAGCCTAACCCAGCCGGAAGTGTGTCGACGAGGATGTCGGGCCTCCAAGGGGGGTGGATTGGGATGACCTTGTGAGCGGGTGTGCCGTGGGCGGGTGCAAGAGACACTGTCAAGCTACCACACTGGCGAGTTACGGGTGCACAGTCCCACATCGCCTGGGTAGAGGAAAGGTGAAGTGCTTATATGTAAGTGTGTCACCTCTAATTGGTGTGAGGCCTTTTAGGGTGAAACCCAAGAGCAAAACCGTGCGGGATCAGACCCAAAGCGGACAATATCATACCATGTGTTGGAGTGGGTAGCTACAAATGGTATCAGAGCTTGACCCAGCCGGAAGTTCGCCGACGAGGTCGTTGGGCCTCCAAGGGGCACTACAACAAATATGATTTTCACCGACGGTTTTTTTCCGTCTACCGGCTTTAATTGATTATTTCCGGCAGTGCCGGAAAATATTAATTATTTCCGGCAGTCTTTTTAAAGTGCCGGAAAATTTTAGTTATTTCCGACGGTTTTTTTAAAAGGGCCGGAAAATATTAATTATTTCCGGCATTCGTTTTAAAAGCGCCAGAAATCATTAATTATTTCCGGCAGTTATAAACAGTGTGCCGGTAAATTTAATTCTTATTATTTTATTTTTCATTATTCTATCCTAATATAGCACATTTTGAGTTTGCGTTAGTTTCATATAAACATATTAGGTTTGACTCCTTTCTTCTCTCTTACCCACGACATCAGGAGAAACAGGGAAGAGCATGGCGGTGGTGGTCGATTGGTGGTGCGGCCGGTGGTAGTCGTTTGGTGGTGTCGGTGGTGCGGTGGTGGTCGATTGGTGGTGCATCGGAGGTCTGGATAGTGGTGGTTGAAGGGTTGGGCTCCTGTAAGTTGTAAGTAGTTTAAACCCTAACTTTCCCCTTCTTGTTCTTGAGATGTATGGAATTTCTCTCTTGTGAAGAAGATGTCTCAAACCTAGTTTGAATAATCGCATTCATAAAAACTTACATCTGGGGACACACTTTGAGTGCCATACTTGTCATTTACCTGTTTGATATAAACAGCCATTTGCCTACAATTAGATATCTCAATCGTGCATATTTAATTTTGAAAGGTTCTAATTTTCCCAGTCCTACACAGCTTTTACAATCGTGGTCAACCTACTGGCCCTATTCAAAATTATTAAATTGGTGATTTTCACATTTAATTTTAATCTACTAATTTACAGTTGCAAAATAAAAAATAATAATAATATAATCTGAAACATTTGGAAAAATATACCCAACTAAGATGGTCAAAGCTCATAGAATTGATGTGTTTTTTCATAACCATATATGAATATGTAATGTAACTAGAGTGAAAAAGTGCCCAAGAGTTAAATTGAGTTTTAGCATGAGGGTCTTCCATCTTCTTTGCCCTGGTCACCTATGTGGCCGTGTTAAATACAGAAACATTTCCTCCTATAAATCATTAAGTATGACAAATCATTGAGGGTAAGTGCATAAACATGCGTGCTTTGTAAATTTATTACCTAAGCATGTCCTATAGGAGAACTGTAAAGCTCATCCTTAGTGGATTCAAAAAAACAGCAGCAAAACCAAAAGTATGAGAACAATGTATGTTTCTAAATTGCTTTTCTCATTTGCTTCATTCTCCGCCGTAATTACTAAAGAGAAATATCCTGCTTCATTAGCCATGATAGGATAGAAATTAAACATGCAAATGAAAATGAGTGTGAAAAAGAAAGCCGTGTTTTGTATACCTACACCAACACCTCACACACATATATATATAGAGAGAGAGTATTGTTTGTGTTGGTTTTTACTATGGCCGGCCTATGCAAAGTTTCATAGTTATGGTTGGAGACATGAGTGAAGTGTGGTTGTGATGTATATATAAAATAACAAGTGGACAGTTGAGAAGAGATAAAGAAACGATTTTTTTTGGTATATTCCTATTTTTTTTTTTTTTTTTTAGTAGTACTAGCTAATCTATTGTGTTAAGAACAAAAAAGGCGGTTAATCTTGAGCTATTTGAAATTTTGTTTTGGGATTTGTAGACTCCTCGGTCTATTAGTTGTGGTTGCTTGATTTGGTTCTTTATGTTCAATTCTTGTTTGTTCCTGATTTTTAATCCCATTTTAATTTGTCATTGTTGATTTTGTTCTATAATTTCCTTTCTCTGGTTATTGTTTCTTGACTTTTGTTAGAATTAACACTGTCCCATGCAGTTTGTGTGTGTGTGTGTGTGTTGATTGATGCCCTTTCTTGTTTTCAGCTTTAGCTGCTTATATTTTTTTCCACATACTTTTCATAATCTTTAAGTTGTTAACAAATTTTATCTTCTAAAAGCATTTACTTTTACATTTTTTTTTTTTTTTTTTTTTTTTCCATTTGCTTTAGATTGGATTTCCACCAATTGTGATGTTTTTTTTTTCCTTGCTCTTTTAAACTTTATGTCAACATGCTTTTCATTGCAAAATTTTACTTTTAAAAGGCTTTATTTTATTTTATTTTTTTCTAATATTTGTTGTTGGTGTTGCTCTTCATTATAATTGAATTTGCCAAGTAAAGTGTCCTTATTTTAATTATATATTTATGAATCATCAGTTTAGCTCTTTGCTGAAACATTAGCTTAAAAGCATGGCCAATTCTATAACACTCACAGATCCCCTACTTTGATAAAATAAAAATACTGGTCTATAGGCTTTGCCAAGTGTTTGGATTGTTGTCTCTTAGGGAGATCACCTCTGCTATCATTATATAGCATACGAAACTTATTCCACAATACATGATCACATTTCTCTGAGTGACAATTATATCTACTTCTGATTCCACAATTCTAGTCTATAAGCTTGATCATCTTTTTTAGTTAATAATAAGATTCTTATTATTATTATTATTATTTTGACATGTCACTAGAAGTAGAGGGCGACACCTTCCAATATTGTTGCCGTATTTAGCACTCCCTACTCGATAAATCTTAATGCCATTGAATGATTTATATTATTTTTTTTTAGTCAGTTTCTAGCATTTTTTTCTAGTTTTTTTCAGTCAATAGTATCCTAGCACTTGGGTTTCCAGTTGCCTACAGTAGTTATATATTATATATTGCATACATCAAAATCCTGGAGTTGCATCCAAGAGAATTTAAAATTAGTTCTGATAGTGATTAATTACAATTGGTTTAGTATTGATTAGTCAAGAAGATTCTTTGATGGGATCAGAAGTAGTTTCTGGTTCATCTCGCAGGTCCTATGATGATGAGAAGGCTGAAAGTACTATGAATTTTTTAGTTGTAAGAAAAAGAATAAACAAATGTCTGAACATATAATAAGCTGCATAAAGTCTGAGCTGGGGAAGCCTGAGTTACATAGTTTTTGATGAAGGTTTGTGGCAATGGCTTCTTGGTTATGATGTTTACTCATGTATGACACATGGCAATGCTTATTGACACAAAACCAAAATGGAAGTCAATAAAAATCTGTAATCTAATTAGCTCATTAGAAATATCCAGATGAAGTTAGAATTAGGGAAGGCGCCAACTCGTGCTCAACTATTTTGCGCAACACATAAGAGCAAGAAGGATGACAAAGCTAGTGATGAACATGCTGCCAAAATGATTGTAAGTATGTTTTTTAGACCATCAATTCTTTATTTCCTAGTTTGATTAAGTGTAAAATATGAGTACTAAAATTTATTACATTTGATGTTTTATATCTTTTTGTGTTTCCTTATCCATTCTATGTATGTAGGCAGACACAACTAGAAGAGCCTGCTGCAACTTAGCCTTCTAACCCAGATGAACCTTCACCCCATGAAATGAAGGAGATAGTGGAAAAGATACGTGTTGAGTATGATGAAAAATATCAAGCTTTGAATGCAAAAATGGCTATGATTTTGCGTCATATTGAACATTAAAATTCTAATGTACAGGTAATATTTTTGTTATTGTACCCTTGTAAACATTTAATTATATAAATATTGTAAGTCCTAATATATTTATAATTATATTCTATTATGAAGGTGCATAATAAAATTATATTTTATTGTGAAGGTACCCAGCTCCTCAACTATACTTGGTGATCCTTAAATTTTAGTTTTGGTCATGAAATTTCGTCCTTGGTGAGCACTATAGATTTTAATTATCATGTTATTTTAACCATACATTTAATTGTCTTAATTATTATTATTTGTTTAATGGCTTTTATTTAAAATGTATGTAGGGCAATTTGAAGCAAGACGAGAGATGAAGTTGAACCATTAATTCTCAAGACCCTCGCATAGTCTCACTCTTGTTGATGTTTTATTTTGAATGATTTCCTTTTGAAGCTTTATTACATTTTGGTGTTTCTTTTTGAACCTTTTATTAGCACTTGACATTTTGAAACAAAACTTATATGTTATGGGATGTTATTGAATTTTAATGCAATTTTGTTCTATGTTACATATCAAATTTAAGTTGTTAGATATGTTGTGATTGGTAAATTATCTTTGATTTCATTGAACAGGGAACAAAATAAAATATTTGCTAATATGTAAATTAAACCAGAAAATAATAATGTAAATTAAACCAGAAAATAATATATATATATTTTTTTATAAAAATTAACACATAACCGGTGGTTTAAAAGCCCCCAAAAGTAAAAATTATACAATTTACTTAGAATACACCAGCGGTTTAAAACGTCCCAAAAAGTAATAAATTTACATTACCGGCACTTTGAAGTGCCGGAGTATAAGAATACACCGGCGCTTAAAATGCCCCCAAAAGTAAAAAATTAGATTACTGGCGCTTCAAAGTGCCGGAGTATACAGTTAATTGACATTTTTATTTGAATGCACCGGCGGATAAAACCACCGCTAAATAATCTTTCACTGGCGGTTTTATACATCCGCCGATAATTATTTCAAACCCAGCGGTTAGGTAAAAACCGCAGCTGAAACCTACCGGCGGTTAGGTAAAACCGCCAGTAAAGGAATTACCGGCGTTTTTGAAACCTTATAGTGGCGGTTTAGACCGCCGCTGAAACCCGTATTTGTTGTAGTGGGAGGTGGATTGTGATGCCCTTGTGGGCGGGTGTGCCGTCGGCGGGTGCAAGAGACACTGTTAGGCTACCACACTGGCAAGTTACGGGTGCATAGTCCCACGTCGCCTCGGTAGAGGAAAGGTGAAGTGCTTATATGTAAGTGTGTCACTTCAATTGGTATGAGGCCTTTTGGGGTAAAGTTCAAGAGCAAAACCGTGAGAGCTCAGGTCCAAAGCAGACAATTTCATACCATGTAGTGGAGTGGGTCGTTACAGGATTTATATTTGATAATTTGAGAGAGAAAGTTAAGTACAATGATTTAAGGGGAAAATACAAGTAATTAAATAATTTAGGAAAAAATAAAATAGATAAATTTGATAGAAGAGAGAAAAGTGCGGTGATGGGTAAGGCGTATAAGAGTTGATACGATTAAACTTTGACAGCTAAAAAAAAAAAAAACAATATTATATATATATTCAAAATGCAAATCTAAAAAGTTATTTCATGATGTGTATTAGATGCTCATTTTTTTTTTTTCCTCATACAGTATCAGATGCTCATTTTAATATACTTAATCTTGTTGGATTAGGCAACTTTCAATGAGTATCACGTTTCTCACATTTTAATACTATATAAACAGCTTCTCTCACAATGGATCTAATTTTTTACGAGTATATACTTTCTTTTCAAATCACTAATTTCTGGTATCAGCACAAGTGAATCTATTCCTAACTAGTAAGATTTTTAGAAAAAATAAATACTTTGTTAATAAGCAAGTGTTCACCATTTAAAAAATAATAATAATAATAATAATAATTTTGATTGCAATCTTCAACCTTTGACATAATTAATAATTAATAATTTAAAAAATCCTTTGGTACTGGAATTTGGTACAGTTATTTCACAACTCTTTACCAAAAATATATGTATACATATATAAACTAAAAACAACTTTACCAAAAAAAAAAAATCACTAATTGATATTGTAACGGAATACGTACAGAAATTTCTCTTGTTTATTGAAAGATGAAATTTGTTAACTCTGTACTGGTTAGTTGAACTAAGGTAAAGTACAATAACAGGAAGTCTTACTTTTTCATCTAATCACCAAAGAAGTCATATCAATTTATTGGATTTTTAAAATTAATTTTGTATTTTTATTTTTATCATGGTAAGAAAGATTCACACACTCACATTGCCTCTACAGGACATCATCTATTTATTTTATCAAACGATGTCGATCATCTAATTTGAGAGACAAGAAACTAAAACTAAACTATAACCTTTGGTGCCAATTTTATATTTCTAAATTTTTTTAAAAAAAATTAAATTTTCAATTTATATAAATATATATATCAACAGTTTTACAAGCCAAACAACGACAACATGGCCCAATCTAACAACAACCAACAAGAAGCCCAAGTGTACACTAAGGCCGATAACCCAAGTACACCCAGCCCAAGGACAGCATTCAAATGCTCATTCACCTACTGCGAACTCCAAGCTGATACGGTGGTTTAGCCAGAGTTCTTGCAACGCTTTCTGGGAGTTTCCATTTGGCCTCAACTCTTGTTGCATTATGCGTGTCCGTGATTGATGATAAAAGTAGCTTGGATCGAATGGATTCAACATTTTTAACTTGGCCAACCTTTGTCCTGGGTTTGGGTTTAAAATTTTTGTTTTTCCTCCCTTTAATAGTAACATTATTTTATTTAAAAACATTTGAATAAGTTTCTTATATGTTGAAAATTTAAACTAATTGTTTAGCAGTTGAAATTTATAAAGTACAAAAAAAAGAAAAAAAAAAAAAAGAATGCCATGATACTAAAATACTACACACATTCTAATAGTTAAAGTTTATATTATAACAAAATAATTTCTGAACATAATTTATAAGTTTAAAAATGAGATTTAACTATTGTATTGAATCATTTAGCCTTCGTTATTTTACAAATTTCACTCCACATTTTTCTTTCTCCTGTTGTTGATTCATTTCTTTCCCTACCCTCTTTAGACAAAGAAAACCCGTTACAGCTAAACCGTTCTCCACCGTTTATTATTATTATAATTTTTTAACCTAGGTAAAACAACAAATATAAAATTGCATACGCTGAATCACAAGATCAAACAACTGAGAAAATTGTTACCTCCATAAAACAGCAAGAACTGTTAAAAAAGTGTATAATTTTCTCTAATATCACAATTATTTAGATAATTTGTTTTTTATTTTCAGAACTTAAAAATCTCTCCAAAAAAACATTACGACACTTGGTTGAAAATGAAATCTTATCCGGTAGCTTTGAAATATTACAAGTAATAGCTACATATATTCAATATTCATGAAAGTTTTAAACTTGCATTCAAGTCATGTAATCTTGTAACCAAAAAAATAAAATAATAAGTCATGTGATCTTTACATGTAAGAAAGGCATGCAATCAGGCAACTCACTTCAATTTTAAACGTGCATTCAAGTCATGCGATCTTTACAAGTAAGAAAGGCATGCAATCATGCAACTCACTTTATATAGAGTAGGTTTTCAGCTTTTTCAAAAATGAAAATTTGAGTCATAAAAAAATAAAAAATTGTAGGTAGAAAGAATATTGTGTAAAATATTTGTATGAAACACCTTAAATATGATGTGAAGTTATTGGACTCCGACACCAATAAACGAGATTGGATTTACAGTTGACAAAGTCGGCCATGAAAACAATTTCCATCTTAAAGGTATGAAGGCAAGAAGGAGAGCAACTCAAATACTTGTGTCACCTCTCAAGTCTTTACTGTAAAATTGAAGAAGAGAGGGAGTTGAATGATGAATTACGCTCAATAACCTATTTGAGATAGCAATAAGTAATGTAAATACAGTCCTTTGTATTCATTAATTTGATGGCCCGGTTGGGTTGATTGACTTTCACAGTTAGTGTTATGGGGGATGGCTGTATATCACGAAGTGGTGTAAAAAATTGATTGTAAAACTCATCATCATTATTTTTTGTAACTAGTGTTGGAAAGTATTGTAATGGAACAAACATACATTCAAGGATTATATATACTGGTATTTTAAAAAATATAAGAGTTTCCATAAATGTTCTTGCCAAGGAGACAAATAAAGTTCTTCCATCTCTATAAGCTCTTCATCAATACATTTCAAAACCATAAACTGGAAATGAAGTGAAAGTCACAATTTTGTAGGGTCCATGTTTTTTTATGAGTTGTGAAGCGGAAAAGGAAGTGGAAAATAGTTTTGAAAAACTTTTGGGGGTTATCTCGTGCTTATTTATCCAATTTTATCTGATTAAAATTACCGATTGATCGTCAATATCACACAGTACAATAATCATCAAGTGAAGTTAAAGTGACACCAAATTTTAGCGAGAAAACTAACTGGAAATCCTCCACTATGTTTGAAGTAAAGTATAACTCACTTTGACTCAGACTCAGACTCATTCACTTTACCAAGACTCAACTTGCTGAATGTCATCGGCTATGCGACCTCCCATCCAACAGCTCACGACTTCATACTGACTCCTTGAACCAGCTTATAGAAGGACTAATTATCGGTAGATCAATAACACTCCACAAATGTTTTGACCCTAAATTTGAATTTTTATGCAAAAAGTCAAAATCCTAAGTAAGAAAACATGTATTTAAAGACTTTGAAAATCTAATTGCACTTGAAAACAAGTCAATTTTGTGCAAAGATCATTATTGCAAAAGTCTATCTCAAAATAGAAAGCCAAAACAGATCCGAACTCAAAATTACCATTAGTAAGGAAGGGCGCAACCGGTTCCATAGGGCGCAACCGGTTCTGCTTTGGCAGATTTTTTTTTTTGAATTAAAACTTTTGAAAATTATTATCAGTGCGCGCAACTAGTTCCGCTGAGACAGGTTTGGAAAACGGAAAGTGACACTTATTAAAAGTTTCCTACATGCCATGCAAGTGTCCTCACACACTCACACTCACACTCACTTTACTAATGTGTTGTTCTCAACATTATAGAGTGTGAACATGACCAATATTCAATTTCGCTTCTAAACTTGAGAACAACACATTTTGATCGTGAAATTTGCCAAATTATAAATTTATATCTCACATTATTCTATAGTGATGTTCAACTGCTCCCAGTGAGCAAGAAATAATAGACTCACTTTAAATTATAACCTCAGGATCTAATCCTACCGCTAATTAAAAAAATATTACTTAAAGAAATTTACCATTTTTCTAATTAGATATTAATTGTAAAATGACTATTATGGATAGTTTCTTAAAAATAAAAAATAAAATAAAAATTAATCAATTTTTTTAATCACAGTAATTTTGAATTGCCACTGCATGTTCCACCTCCATTGCCGCCACCTCCACCACCTACCTCGCAACTGTCGCCACCTCCACCACCGCTGGCATAGGTGGGGT